TTTAAAATAACGCAGATACTTATATGTATAATTATATAATTCATACATACATACTTAGTTGTAAGCTATATATTTTTCAAGTAATCTTACTCAAGTAAGAGGTTGTAGGCCCATGCCCTTTGTATAATTTCTATTTGAATCCTGTAGACATGGACGCTATATTTTATATAGAGTTTTTATGGAATTGACCCTTAAAAAATAATACATATTCAAATAGATATGATCAGACACCATTTCTGTCAACAATAAGAATTCTACCTTTACTGCCTCACTTATCTGGAGCATTGAACAAAAGTTTTCTTGTACATAATAGAACAGTCACATTATTTGCACTTAAAATTTGATTTTGGGAAGCATTTTAATCCTTATAGGTCCAGCTGCATTCCGGCCCAGAGCACATGCTGCTGCATCTTATACTCCTTCAGTTGAGAAGGGTCGACCTGTCTTACAGGGACTGTTGGCAATAGATTTTTTAGCAAAAGAGGCAAGTTTGAACTTTTCCTTAAGAGAATTTCCTTTATAGTATTGCAGTAGTGTCTCTCTGCTCCACTGCAGATGATTTTTTTTTAACATTGTGCTCAAGTTATTTTAAATATATGGATGAATAATCTGATTTAATATATGGATGAATAATCTGATTTTAAATTATTTACTGCAGGTGCTTGGTTGGGCACAAGCTATGCCTAAATTTGCCATAGACCTTGTGAAATATGTGCAAACTTTCCTTGAGCGAACCTATGAACGATGCCGGACCTCATACATGGAGGCAAGGATGTTTCCCTTCTAACTTTCCTATTATCCTAGCACAGCAGGAGTGATGCCAACCAGACACTAAAAATATATTTAATTACTATAATAGGTGCTTATAGTAAGACTTGAGAGAATGATGCCAACTGTAAACAAATATAAATGTCAACAATGTCCTAGATTGATTTTCACATTTTCTCCTTCATAGGTTCTTGATTTCTAATCAGTACCCTGACAAGTAGTTAGCACATGCCATGATAATTGATCATGAATCCAATTTTTGGTTTTCTTCAGGCAGTTTTGGAGAAACAGAGCTATATGCTCATTGGAAGGTATGATATCGAGCAATTGATGCGTCTTGACCCAGCAAGTACATGTTTACCAATTTCCCTTGGTCAGTCAAACATTGAAACCCATGCTTCGGATTCTGAAAATCTTGAGGTTGAATTACAATTAAGCGACCTATTATTGAATTTGCGGCCTATTAAGCAGGTATTTCAGTTGGCCGCCTGATGTTTACAGTTGTTCTTTCTACTCGAATGATTACAACTTATTGTTATCATTTATTGTTTCTGTTTTTTTCAGTAAAAGATGTTAGACTAATTTCCCTTCGGATTTTGTAGTAGTGAGGCCTTGCTGATGAAGTAATTGATTAATTTGTTGAATATTTAGATTATGGATTGACTTTCTTTTCCAACTCTGCCTCTCACAGGATAATCTAATTCGTGATGATAACAAACTAATATTGCTGGCTTCCCTTAGTGATTCGTTGGAGTATGTTGCGGACTCTATTGAAAGGTAAGCCCTCATCTGGCTGGATTTTTTTTTTTTTATTAGATCAGTGGAGTTTGTAAGTGATCACATAGTGGACAACAAGAAACTTGTTAGTTTAATTAAAAGCAGCAAGATCCTATTTTTAATCCCTATAGTCCATATGGCAATGAGTTGTGTTATTTGAGATTAATGTGGCAAGAGTTATCGTATATAACAAGCTATTATGAAAACAATCATGTGTCTCGTGTGGATATGATACTGATGATGCTCCTTTGAAGAAAATGCTAGTGTATACCCACAAAATTATGTTGTTTTTATGGATGCGAAGAATCTGTTTCCAGAAGTTTTTCCCTTCACTCCCTTGTGTGAAGTTTGTTATTTATTTTCAGAAGTTTCTACAACCCCTTTATTTTTCTAATTTTTTTTTTTTTTCAATTTGTACGTGTCCAGTTTCAACCTCAAACGTAGAATCTTTTTTATGCTTGAAATCTTTTCAGTAGGCAATTTATCCATGATAGATGAATGAGCACAACTGTTGTTAATTATATAGGCTTGGGCAGACAACCTTCAGGTCTCCAAATGAAGTAGAAGAGAGTGGTACGAACCGTCATCAACGAACAACTAGTGCTGCTTCTAGGGATCTGGTATCGTTTGCAGATGAGTATAGAAAATTGGCAATTGACTGCCTCAAGGTTTTACGTGTTGAGATGCAATTGGAGACGATTTTCCATATGCAGGTATGTGATATTTAGTTTTCATATATAGAGTCTACTTTGAGAGTGATACTTGTTAGAATTGTCCTGTAATGAAAATAGCATCGGCGGACTGAAAATTGTGGTTTAAACAGGAAATGACAAATAGGGAATACATGGAAGACCAGGATGCAGAAGAACCAGATGATTTCATTATTTCACTTACTGCACAGGTCAGTATATTCATGTCCAGCTTAAGCAGATGGGAGACGTTGGATCAATTGTACTTTTCTTTCTTGATTTGGAGAGAAATCCTAAATAGGAATTATTATACACCATGTCTTTTTTTAAAGGATATTTACTTTAATAAAAAATTAATTCTTTAAGGACCAGTAATTTCTGAGTGCCACATGCTCTTCTTACATAATATTTGTGTTTCTTTGCCTATAGATAACACGCAGGGATGAGGAAATGGCACCTTTTGTTGTGGGAATGAAGCGAAACTACATATTTGGTGGGATTTGTAGCATCGCTGCAAATGCATCCATCAAGGTTTGTACTTTTTATGGAGTCTTTGAGTCTTTGAATCTTCTGTATGATATATATATATATATATATATATATATATATTTATTTATATTCTCTCATAATCTCGTGCAAAAGTCTGGTTCAAGTGATTCAGCCATTGGATTGGTGCTTGTTATGTCATGCCATCTGAAACATCATGAATACATGCATTGGAAATGTAAAAAGGCTTTATTTTCTCAACAATTTTTGCTGTATTTTATTATCTTCTCTGAACTTCTTGATTCATCAATCATTACAAGTATAAGGAATTGTGCCGAGAAAATATTTCATTGCCTTACGTTACCTTTTTAGCTTTTTGTTGCACCATCATGGAAATCACAGCACGGGAATTCATGAATAGTATTCATCATCGCCCATTTTATTCATTTAGTGATTGAAATCCAAAGAACCGCGTGAAAGAAGGCTTATTTATTATGTGCATTTTATCTATTCCGTCAGACCATAAGTCTTTTCCATCTGTTCACTGCTGAATGCTGATGTGAGATACTGCAATCTTAACAGGCTTTGGCTGATATGAAATCCATCAACCTTTTTGGCGTTCAGCAGATATGTCGGAATTCAATCGCGCTGGAACAGGTAAGTCATTTTTAAAGCCTTTATTCGGACACCCCAAAATTATTGTGATGAGGCTTTCTGGTTCAATCTAAGTTACGAATATTACCCTGTAATAATTATTATTGGCACTGCAGGCCCTGGCTGCTATCCCATCAATTAACAGTGAAGGTGTCCAACAACGACTAGATCATGTCCGAACTTACTATGAACTCCTAAACATGCCATTCGAGGCAAGTTGTTGGTATTGCATTTTTGTTTTACTCTCTATATTTTGGTTTTCCCGTAGTGATCAACATTTTTCACCTGTTTGTTTGCAGGCCTTGCTAGCTTTCATCACAGAGCACGAGCACTTGTTTACGACTACAGAGTTAGTCAATACGTCCCTCTTACCTATACATATCATGGTCATAGTAACTTTTATAGCTGCTGAATAACGTGTAACATTTCTCTCGCAGGTATGCAAATCTTCTGAAGGTCCAGGTTCCAGGAAGGGAGATTCCTGCCGATGCTCAAGATCGTGTATCAGAGATTTTATCCCGTTAGCCATCTTCTGCATTTATTCTCTTTCGTCGAGATTAAGAGTTCTTTGATGTGGAAAATGTGGTAGCATTTATGTAAAAGTGTTGGTCGTACCCAAATTGGCGGATGCAGCGAAAGCAGATACAAGAGTGAATTTTGTGGAAGTTGCCGTGTCAAATTATTTTTGCCGAACTATATAATGATGGCGAGGGTTCCGGTTTTCTTTTTGTTTCCACAATTTGTTAGTGTAGTATAAATTTTTTGTTGTTGCAGTGTGTAAGAAGTTAATGCGTAGTGTTGGTTATGAAGAAACGAAAGCCGATGTAAATTTTCGTGTAAATCATTTGTATTGATTCTCAAAAGCGTCCGTTTATCGAAGAGCTAGGACTCGATTACAGCTCTGCCCGTTTCATCGTTTTGTTGTTTTCGGGTTATGTTCGAATAATTTCAGTTGTCTCAACTAGGAGAATTATCATTCAGTACTACGGTCTGGTAGGTAACGAATTCAATGCCAAATTAGACTGTCCATTGTGTGGTTTTGCCGAACTCTCCCTCCTCGTTAGAGTTACCCTAATACGGATCAAAACTTTGTAGTTCAAGCCTCAGATGAATTCTAGTCAACGGCCTAGCTCCGTGAGGCTGTGAGCCAAATTTTGGTTTCGGGTCTGAGCAACTCCGCTTTCATTTACTTCTTTTTGCGCAAAATCGATCATTTTTTAAACTTCTCCAGTGATCATACAGCTAGAGCTTAACCTGGAAACCTCGGCCGTGAGATTACTATGTTAAGTTATATTGTTTTTATACAAACGATATTCAACGATGGGTGAATTGAACACGAGGCCGTAGGTTTGGGATTTTTATATCAAGCAATGTCTCCCAATGCAATTTGGTTAGACACAATAACAATTTCCCTCGTATACGGATGAGACTACTTTTAGCTGTTTGGGCTATGCTTTGAACTTCAAGTTTTATAATAAAAGTTACCACCCAATCACGTTGTGCACTTTGATTTATTCATTAAAAGTTTAAATTTATTCTCACTTTTACACATCAACCATACTTTCTGGCTTCGTCACTCTCGAGTGTCGGCCAGCACATCACGATTCGGATGGACATCATTGTTGATTTCTCAAAATATGATTATATAGTGCAAAACTGTCCAGAATTCCAGATTCAGTTGATAAAAGCACAGATGGCTACTTACAACTCGAACAATTAGGCTACAAAAACAATGAGATTCTGTACATTTCGCTATTCACCGCGCCTCTGATTGTAAAGTTTCGGATTCACTCTCAACGCCTTCTTTGCTAAGTTTCGGATATCGTCCCGAATGGATTCAGTCGATATTCGAACGATCTCTTGCAGCCCTCCACCGGATATGAAATCCCTTGCATTGTCCTCTGCACGAACAACACATCATATTACTGCCTAAGAAATGTAGAACCTCAACAGAAAATAGAACAAGTCATCCTAAGCATCTAAGTTTGTTGTCCGATTATTTGGAAATATGTAAAATTCTCCGTAAAAAAATGCCCGAGCGCAGTCAGAGCGTACCGTTTTGTGCTAAATGGCAGAGAGCAAGCTCTATATGGCGTCGGGTTGAGGTTGAGGCAGTGTTGGAGTTGATAATCAACCAGGTAAGGACACCATCGTCCATCAAAAGTGAACGACCTTTTCTATGTCCTGATTTGTAAAGCTTAATAGTCAATATAATGCAGCATAATAGATGTAAACATCCACAAGGAGGACTACTTCAACCAACCTTGAATAGTTCCGCGCGATTCACATTTTGCAAAGTTAGCCAGTCCTCTGGCAACCTGTGCAATCACGTCACTACTCCCCGACCTCGCCATTCCCAAGAGTGCCTTAATTCCTCCATCTTCCTTCAGCATTGTATGTAATCTTTCTGTAATTAACGAAAACTACGCATGAGCTTTCATACTAATAACCCTCAAGCAAGATGTGACTCCATCCGTTTAGACGTAAAATATATTGGGATATGTTGAGTAAGCAACCTATGCAGCGAAGGAATGAACCTAAAATACATAACCTAAGTACTTAACAACCTCACGCTTAAACCATATGTTGATGCTAGCAAGTAATTCGGTTCATGGAAAGGTCGGTACTTGGAAAAAATTAAACAACGTGCTACTATGAAATGCACAAAAGTTCCTGTGAAAACTTGAAAAAAATACTCTCAACCATCTCGTGCTTACCATTTCCACATAAATTAGCAAGTGCACCAGCAACCATTCTAAGAGTTTGTGGATCATTTGTCTTGCTTGCTGTCTCTGCGAGTAGTTGAGCGCCGCCTCTGCTCATAATTACGCCTTGATTTACCTCTGAGAAGAGTTAAAAGAGAAACAAAAGACAAAAGACGAAGAGATAAGTACATTAAATTAGGAGAGTGATCAAATATTCAACAAAGAAATATCAAGTTCCTCCCCCCTCCATTTTACTGCAAGGGTCCTGCTTTTCCTAGAACTCAGGAGCCATTTTCACCGCCTAAAAGCCCCGAGATAACAATACATTAAGTTTTATAGTAGTAAGAAAAAAAATGCAGTTAAATGCTCATGAACTTCAGAGTAATCAGCATCTTTGGTGGTATTTGTTAATAATCAGTTTGGTTTACATTTTCCAGAACCATCGTAGTGTAAACAAGAATTTTAAAAGCAAGGTCTACACGTGAAAAGGATGGACGATGGAAGGCACTGAACAAGTATAATTTCTTCACTAACTAAAATGCACAAGAAAGATGAATAAGGAATCAGGATTACCATTCATTGCCAAATTGGCAATGGCCCCAGAAGCAACTCTAAGGATAGTTGTATTTTCTGAGGATTGCAACAGAATAAGCAAAGCATCTAAACCACCTTCCTCAACAATCTTTGCCTGATTAGTATCTGAAAATAAAGGAAAACCTTAATTGGTACAACGGTATACACTACTAAATCCTCATGCTAACTGTTTGACCCCGTGACAGGAGCAGTGACAGATCAGTGATATAGACCATACAAATCAAATGCACAAACATATGACATATACTATCACTATTATGTGAAAATTGAAGCAGCATATATTAGTTTTAGAAGAAAAAAAATTTCCATGTGTGAAAATTGAAGTGGCATATATTTTTTTCCATTAGACTGGTTTTCTGATATCAACGTAATAACAAATAACACGTAGATTGATCCATCTTTAGCACAGTTTGTAGTATCACCTCCTTTGAAAGGGGATGAAAAGCATGCATTTATCAGCTAATATAAATAGACAATACAGGAAAGTGCATACCTTCAGCTGCAAGATTGGCCACCACCTTCACAGCATGGGTTTGGACATCTGAATCTTCAGATGTCAACAGTTGTACGATCTTTTGAAGCCCAACTGAATTATTAAGTAAATTAACTTGTCAACCGAGAGATGTCAATGAGCGGAATTCGCAAAGGAAAAGATAGTTATTCAAACTTTATGAGGCTTTATTATATAATAAATCTTGCCTTCTTCACATATTTTTGCAATTGTGGCCCTTTGACCAGAAATTGTATCTCTCAATGGATTCGAATTGTGTAACCCCATTGGATTCCCCAATGCAGAAGATCCTTTATGTGTTTTTTCCTTCATATACAACTTCTTGTCCTGGAGAATTTCAAATGTAAGGTTGTATTGTCGAACCTGATATTTGTGAAAAGCACAAGCAACTCACCTCAAACTCATCTTCTTTCTCCGGTGCAGCCTTCTTTAATTTGATTAGCTCATTCTCTACAGACTTCCTCTGCTTCTCTTCAATTAGAAGTCTTTGCTTCACATCTTGAAGTTCTTCCTTGAGTATTGCCTTAATAGTCCCAATTATAGAAAATAACGTAAATCATTTAGTAATTCATACTTAACTGACTACTCATAGCAACTGGAGGAGCAATTGCGTGACCACAACTGAAATAAATATTAGTCTACATTTTGTGGGAATATAATATTGAACCGCACTAGTTGCACTATATATGTCAACGTACCTTCTCTTCTGAGAGATCAGCACATTCTGATTTCAAGGACCAATATTTGTTTAGAGTTTGTTCATGTAGCTGATTCATTTCTTCTAACTGCACTCTAAGTTCATCAATCTCTTTCTTCCCCTGGATTTATTAAAGCAAAATAAAATTTACTGTATGATGAATACGTGTGAAAAGGAGCCTTGAATATGAACAATCATTTCACCACATTTAGAGAATTATCAATTATCAAAACAGAGGGAATAAAGGCTGGTAGTAGCTGCATAAAAACTTTTCCCAGCTCAATATGAAGTGATATATTACCACGAAGAACTTAGGGATCAATTTTTCTTTTTGCGTATATATACGTTAAAAGGAAAAAGAAACAAAGAATATCACAGATACGTGAAAATAGAAGAACACTGGACTCTTCCATGAAGCATCACAACGGGCTCGTTTAGTAACTTTTAGGAATAAATTTTAACCTGCATTGAGTTTTGCCGACTATGTTGCTTCTTCTCCACTTCCAATTGTTCTTCAATATCTTCAAAACGGGCATGCTCATTTTCCAATTGCTCCCTTAACTCAGCTATTTTTTTCTCATACAACTGAGTAGTGTCTGCAAGTGCTGATTGAAATGCAGAATTCTCTATCTGATGTTGCTACAAAAAATGAACAAAGCATTGCAGTTGGTACTCATGTTGCTATAACTTGTGGTAAAATATTAGCTTCAATTATTTGCAAGTTGCAAATGAAAAAAAGAAACTATATTTAAAAGGTTGAAGTTTGAAATTTTCTAATAAAGGTGGCCAGATTTTGAAGAAGAAACAATATTTAAATTTTTCCAGAAAAATGCATATTAAAATAAAAAAGCACTCCAAGGATATTACAGAAAACTGTTAGAATTAAAGATGACAAAAACAGGTCCTGTTCTAAATGCATAGAATGCTTACCTGAATAGTCTGTTGGCCATCAGTCAGAAGCTTCGTTGTTAAATCTAACTGTTCCTCTGTGCTTTCAGCACGAGCACGCTCATCATCTAGCTGCTTAATCAACTTTGCTATTTTCTCTTCATACGTCTGAGTGCTATCAGCTAAGACTTTCTGATACATAGAACTTTCAAGCTGGTGTTGCTACTAACAGGCAAAACAACACTATAAACGCTGTGCTCATAAAGGACAAAATATTTTATTATGAGACGGTATGCATTCAACATATGATGTTTGATGTGTGTGTGTGTGTGCGCGCGCGTGTGCGCGCGTGTGCATGTCTGCCAAACTCCTGCTATAAAACTGATTTACTAGCCTATGATAAATTCTTTTGGTGTACATAGTGGCACCAACATTAATAACCATAAGCACTGTATAGCCTCAGCTAGACTGACAAGAAAACAACTAGACAAAGTCATAATATAAAAGGAAATTACAAGGCAATCTAACTGAGGCAATACAGCCATTATGGTATCAATGCTGGTGCACTGGATCGTCAGAAAGGAAATACCTTGCCGTGTTCTAAACTTGCTTCAAGTTCTGCAACTTTATCATGCATCAGGTCACTGTGTTCTTTCTCACGGTTCAGTTTATCTGAAACATCTTTCAGATCCAACTCCAAACGACTATTTTCCTTCTCCAGAAACTTTTAAGTATAGAGAAGTATTAGATGGAGGGGAAAGACGTACCAACCCTCATAACAATCAGCATGACAAGAAAATAACTAGATGAATCATCAAAATGAAATGAAACTATAAGGAACATTTTTTCACCGAGTCTTCAGAAAAGAAATACCTCTCCATGTTCTAAACTTGCTTCAAGCCTTGCAACCTTATCATGCATCAAATCACTGTGGTCTTTATGACAGTTCAGCTCATCTAAAAGATCTTTCAGATCCGACTCCAAACGAGCATTTTCCTTCTCCAATAACTGAAACATGCAGAAGATTAGAAGAAAAAAGTGTACTATACCTCTCATAACAATAGGTATGTCAAATGGATCGTATGTGAGTTGAAAATGATGACCAGTGTTTCATCAACCAAATTACAAATGGTATCTAGGCGGGATAACTACCTCAGACCTTGTGCTTAGATTGTTCTTGGCCTCAGCAAAAGAATCTTGACACTCCTTCAGCTGTCTTTCCAATTCCAATTTGTTACTGTCCAACAACTTCTGTTGCCTTTCAAATTGTGCAGTAAGATGGTCTACTTGATTCTCAAGCTTCCGACATTGACTTTCATAATCAAATTCTTCCTTAAGTTTTACCATATTTACTATTCTCATTGCCTGCAAAATAAATAACAGATGGTCTTGTATGAAAGATTGTAAACTACCAATAAAATAAATGAGATAAACTAACAACAGGAAATTAGCAGTTGGAATTATTAAAGTTAGAAAATGAAAACAGATACTGGAATATATGGATAATTCAGTTCAGCGATAATGATTAGTATAAACTAGCTCACCCGTTGTCCAAACATTATTGTACTGGTCGTCTCTGCATAGTTCTGTGCTGACAGCCCAATCATTACTATGAGTGAGGTCCTCGCAGAGCCTGTTTCATGGAAAGTACATGGAATTTCCTTTTAGAAACATTAGGAAAAGAAATGGAGCAGAAATAAATGAAAGAAGGTATACATATGTGTGCATTGGGCCTTTTCATATTTTTCTTTCTTTACATATATGTGTAAATAGAACAACAAATATGAACAACATATCAAATTTGTCTCACTCGACACAAAATGTATTCAAGATATAGAGCATTGGCTATGGCCTACATACATAGCAAATACCATTATAGATGTAAGAGGAGCGACTCAATAAAATCTATGCAATATCTAAATACAGAGCAGAATGTAAATATATTGGGACAACCTCCAAATGAATCACGAAGCAACCTTGTAAGCTTAGAATCTCTGACAGGGATATGTGGACTGTTTTCCGCCAATGCATTTATACATTTTCCAAGAGAAGTAAGTGAAAGATTTATAAATTTTGCCTCCTCAAGCAAGTGGCCCTCACTGCCTGCAACATGAGAAAAATAATGTCAGGAATAACAAATGATGGAAAAAAAAGCTTAAGTACTACTTCAGGTATACAGTATCGATGACAAACCAGATTTATCTATTCTTTCAGATCCTGCAAGATCAACAATCAGCAACTTGCTTTTTCGAACTACAGGTACCCCACTTCTAACTGATAAATCAGCTCTAAAGGCTTTTTCTTGAGAAGTGATCTCATCTGTAGCATTTTCTTGCACCGATCTACGAACAAAAACCTGCAAGCATAAAAGATTCAGATCATCGTTATTCAAAGAATAATATCTACAGATTTGAAAGTAAACATGAATTGATAAATCCAAAATCATACAACAGACCCACCATAAGAATCGCGTGACTGCGTGAAGATTCTGTATTCAGCTTTGTGTTAGCTGCATGACGGTTTGCCTCACCAATTTGCAGCAGTTGTAAAAAGTGATCAAGGTCTTTAATTCTTACTACTGAAGCACCAGGAAGTGACACCTCACCAGTCTTCGAGTCCTCGTAAATAGGAATATTAATCTTTTCTGGTGCAAGCAAATCTTGAATAGATTCCATGTACAACTGGTGCGGAATAAAAAAATAAAAAATAAACATTTCTTAATAAATGAGCAATCATCCAACATGGTAGTAACTTGCCGCTCTACTTCAACAGGTATGCGATCAGATGACAAGCAATCTTTAGAATTTGGTAAGGATTGAAAAGGTTGAACTGACTGAAAACACTATATTCCCTGTCATCCTTCTTTTCCTGGATAAGAAAGAAGAACAGAGTCCTAAAAGAGATGGTGGAAGTTCACCTTGCTGATAGTGATACCTCAATGTAGTCTCACACAACAAGGGAATGTGATGGGGCCCTACACAGTACGCAGCACGTCTCCAGGTTTTCCATTACTTTCCTAAGTTGTTATAAGATTCACAGATCTCCACTGAACTCCAAAAGATATTTGTTCCTTAGCAGTGTAGCGTTCAACTCATGAAATGAAACGTTTGCTAATGCTATTAAGTTCCTATGGTGCAGTGAACAATATCATGCGTACGATGGACTATGTACCAATTCACCTATATTTCACTGTGAACAGTGATGGTGGATAACAGTTCAACAAGAACGTCATATCAAAACAACAAAACACACCCACCTGCAAGTAGGAAACTTCCACACTATCAGAAGCAGTAGATGTAGTCGAAAGTATGTCCTCCAAAGCTCTAACCATAATGCCACGCTCGGATGCATCATCATTACCCAGACTGCCAACTGTGTAAGTTTTCCCAGTACCAGTTTGGCCATAGGCCATAACTGTTCCATTATATCCACTCAACACACTCTGCAAAAGTATATCAAACTCGACATTACATCATTAACCAATTAAAGAACCACAATTGCAATCGAAAGACACATTGAGCGTCTCAACGTGTCAAATGCAACTCAAAAACAGCCAAAGAAATAGTGGTAAATAAGCAAGCAAGATACCTCAACTACAGGTTTTGCCACCACTTGATAAACCCGATTTTGCGAGGCGGTTTCAGTGAAAACTTCATCAAATCTGTAAGACTCTGAGCTCCAATTGTTCTTTCTCAACTTTAGCCGCTTCAGCTACACAACAGGAAAAAATGAAAATTTTAATTCCATTATAATTTAATTAGTTAATCTGGTTTAAGATTAATAGAAAAGCTCGGAAATTTCAGCTTTAAAATCACACCTCGGGCTGCAACTCGACAATGTCTGCGAAATCAGAATCCGAAATGCGATCCTCCAGATTTCTCGGTCGAAGCCTGACAGCAACCCTCACTCTTCCGGCCTCTGTTGCAAAAATTAATCCCAAAATCCCCAGAAATTTAAAAACTTGAAGTTTGATTTGAAATTAAAAATGAATTCTTTGAAGATAAATTCCAAAATTCCAAAAATTCAGAATTATGGTGGGAGAGAGAGACCTTGTTGGTATTCGGGGTTAGAGTGAGGAGTTCTCGAACTGGGAATGACGGAGCGCCGTGAACCGGAAGAAGAGAGCCGGGAGCGGTGGCTGTTGGCTTGCGAAGACGCCGTCGTTTGTCTAGTGGAGTGAGTAGGAGGGACTTGCGCCGACGACGTCGTTTGCCTCTCGGACCTTCCACCCGTACTGTTACTGCCATTAGTATTCCCTGCTGCTGCCGTCGACGACGACGATGATCGTGCAGACGACGACGAGGACGACGAAGAAGCGGCCATTGATTTGTCAATGGTCAGAGGAAACTGAAAGGGAATGGCAGAGGAAGATTCTGGAGCTTTATTGTTGTGAGGAGAGAGAGAGAGAGAGAGAGAGAGAGAGAGAGGAGAGGAGAGGCCGGCACGTTGGGGAAGAGAAAGAAAATGGTTCCCGCGTTGTGGGTAACGTTTGACTGTTTGAGCACACGAGTCGGCCCTTTTTGTCCTTTTCTTTAATTTAATTTACTTTTTCGTTATCTAAAGCCTAATCGGATGAAGGTTCTTGGCGTACGAAAGTAATCAGAAGATAGGTTAGTGGTAAGGAAAAAAAAAATTTAAACCTCTATGGTGGTACTCTATTAGTAAATTTAATTCATTTTTATCTTTGCATTTAACCAACATTTAATGGAAAAATTATTTTTAAATTAAATTTGTTAATGGACTACATTATGAGGGTTTAAAATCTTAAATTTTTTACCAGATGCGTTATTTTCCGATTATCTTGTCACCACGAGGACTATTTATTCGATTAGAACTATTAAATTATTATATATTAATATAACCTTCTTTGTCTACAAAAAGAGGGTGAAAACTGGAAAGACTATTAATCTTCTATCACACTAAAAAGATTAAAAGCAGTAATGTAATTTCACAAAATAAAATTTTATTGTTTTTTTAAACTCCCATACAAATGATTTTAACATCTCTAATTTAAAAAGAAAAATTATAAATAAAAAAAACAAATAAACCCATCTCCCACTCCCACACTAAACCATCAATTTTATTTATTTTATATTTTTTTTTGTTAAAATTTATTTTTTCCCTTACTATAACATCAAACAATATTTTCTTATTCTACAAAATATATTTTTGGTAAATTTTTTCATGTCTTGATCTTTAGAGCACGGGTCGCAACAAGTATGTTCTTGGTCGAATGGTTCTCGAAAGATCCAGACGGAACAAATGGGAGCATGTAGTGGCCAAGACAGGCCTGAAGGAAACGCGCATGAAGGTGCAACTAGAACTTGAGGTTGTTGTCCTCGCCGCGGACGATCCACGGGATGATGAGCTGGCCGGCGAGGGCATCCGGGTTGAGTTTGGCAGAGTCGGGTTTGGGCTTCGGCTTGGGTGGTGCAAGGGTGATGTTAAACTCTTGAGAGGAAGAGGAAGTGGCGAGGGAGCAGGTGAGTATAGAAACTGACTTTTCATTTCATCGAATAATTGCAACAATACAAGATGATATATATAGCCACAAGCTTGCTACACTAGTGCCCTTAGTTTCTAAAGCTAATTACACAATTGCCACATCTAATTGTTTATAGTTATAACTAACTAGTGACTTGTTTGGATGATTTGGCATCTGTCTCAATACACCCCCTCAAGCTGAGCTTGGGATCAACCATTGAACCAAGAGACAGCTTGAATTTAAGATAATTGAACCGACTTTTGGATAGTGACTTGGTGTGTGAATATCAACAAATTGGTCTTGACTACAAACAAACTTAACCGTGAGGAGATAAGCCAACACCAATTCTCGAATATAATGGTAGTCAATTTCAATGTGTTTAGTTCGGGCACGAAAGACTAGATTGGAAGCAAGAGAGATAGCTGAAATATTGTCACACCATAGATTAAGAACCTAAGATAGTGGGAAGCCAATGTCACAGAAAATTTTGCAAATCCAAGTAAGTTCAACAGCTGTATGTGCCAAAGAACGATATTCTGCTTCAATGGAGGAACGGGCCACAGTGGATTGTTTCTTGGCACTCCAGCTAATAAGATTGGATCCTAGAAAGATACAATAACCATTCTTGGATCGTCTATCAAACGTACAACTTGCCCAGTCAGCATCAGAGAAGGCAGTGAGATTGGTTGAACCCTTTTTGAACCAAATACCTTCAGATACAGTACCCTTAAGATATCGAAGAACCCTCTTTGCAGCCTGTATGTGTTGATCGAGAAGAGTATGCATGAACTAGCATATTTGATTGACTACAAAGGAAATATCAGGACGTGTTCATGTTAAATAATGCAAGGCACCAACAATGGACCGATATTCAGTAGGATTTGAAAGAAGAGGACCCGTGTGGTCAAGCTTTTGAGAACCAAGTGGAGTACAGCATGGCTTAGCACCAACCATATTGGCTTTCTTGAGAAGATCCAGTAGGTACTTTGTTTGATGAAGAAAAAGACTTGCAGAAGACCGATGAACCTCTAATCCCAAAAAATAATGCAAGGGTCCTAAATCTTTGACTAGAAAAAGAGCACTAAGCTTTTGAATGAACATATTGCACACAAAAGGATGAAGGCCAATTACCAAAATGTCATCGACATAAACAAGAACAATAACAAGTGAAGGACTTTTGAGAACAAATAAGGAAGCATAAGAAGAAAACTGCTGAAAACCAAATTGAAGTAGAGCTTGAAAGAGTTTGTAAAACCAAGCCCGAGGTGCCTGTTTAAGGCCATATAGTGATTTTCTCAATTTACAAACATGATTTGGCAAACTAGGATCAACAAATCCTGGAGGTTGCTGCATATACACATCATTTTTTAAATCCCCATGAAGAAAAGCATTATTTATGTCTAATTGGTTTAAAAACCAATTAAACTGGACTGCAAGTGATTACAGTACTCGAATGGTGACTGGTTTAGCCACGGGACTAAAGGTTTCTTGGAAATCAATGCCTTCTTGTTGGTGGTAGCCTTTAGCTACCAACCAAGCTTTAAAACAGTCAATAGTTCCATCAAGCTGTTTCTTGACTCGGAAGACCCACTTGCAGCCAACAACATTGTGGGAAGATGGAGGTACTAAGATCCAAGTACCTGTGGATTGCAAGGCATTGAATTCATCCTATATAGCTGATCTCCAATGTGCATGCTTGGAGGCTTGTAGATATATAGATGGTACAAGATCAATATCCACAGGAAATGGATGTTTGGTAGCTGCATAGACTTTAGGTTTATGTATTCCAGCTTTGGAACGAGTAACCATTGGATGAATATTGCTAGAAGGTTGTGGGGAAGGTGTGTCACTTGAAGAAATAGGTGTTGGGATGGCATCTGAAGGATTGACAGAGCTGGTCGAATTCTGAGCTGCTTCAATGTTGGAATTGAAAGAGACATGATGCTGAGTTGCTGACGGATGAAGTGAACTAACAGAACCAGAATTTGATTGCATCAATGGAATAGAGAACTGAAGATACATAGAAGGAGAAATAGATTCTTGAAAGTGTAGCTACATCTGGAAAAATTGAGTGGAAAGGACATGAAGTTTCATCAAACTGCACATGACGAGAAATATAAATCCTGCTAGTGAGAGGATCAAGGCACTAATAACCCTTGTGTTGTAAACTATAACCCAAAAAGACACAGCTTTTGCTTTTAGCATCTAGCTTAGAATGAACATAGGGCTTGAGCCATGGAAAACACCTGCAACCAAGGACTTTCAATCTGGAGTAGTATGGTGACTTTTGAAAAAGCAATTCCCACGGTGACTTAGAAAGCCCAGAAATTGGCAACCTGTTAATAAGGTATATAGAAGTAGAAAAAGTTTCCACCCAGTAAAGATGAGGAACATTAGAAGCAACAAGTAAGATCATTGTAGTTTCCACAAGATGTCTATACTTTCTTTCATCACAACCATTATATTCAGGGTATGAGGACAACTTAATTGGTGTAAAATACCATGAGTGCGAACAAAAGACTGAAACACAGTACTTAGAAATTCACCCCCCTGAATCGGAGCATACAATCTTTATTTTATTTCCAAGTAGATTTTTTACATATTGTTTGAATACAACAAAAGTATAATAGGCATCAGACTTTGCCTTTAATGAAAGAACCAGTTATTTCTACTGTAATCATCGACGATTAACAAGTAATATTTAAAACCACTAGGTGAAACAATAGAAGCAGGGCCCCAAAGATCACAATGAAGTAATTGCAAGCTGTGAGTAGTAGTAGAAGTAGCCAAGCCAAAATGAAGCTTATGATTTTTAGCAAGAGCACAGTCTTGATAAAAGAAATCAACAGTTTGCCTGCCTTGCACTGCAAGCTTATTGATAGAGAGAACCTTTCGAAAAATAGAAGAGGATGGATGACCCAATCTGCGATGCCAAACCTTCACAGGAGCTGTGACACTTATTAAAGCTGATGGTGATAAAGTTGGAGAGTGACAAAAACCTTGCAGAGGATAAAATCCATCTCTAATTTTTCCCAGCAAAAGCGTCTTCCCCGAAGCACGATCCTTTACAGTGGATCCATCAGGGTCAAGAGTCAAAGCACAATTATTATCTTTGAGAAATTGATGAGCAGACAGTAAATTGTGCTTCATATGTGGAACGTGTAGGACATTACTCAACTTAAAAGAAGTATAAGGAGTATTTAAAGAAAAGGAACCAATATTATAGATAAACAGACCTTTACCATCTCCTATTACAAACAGACCTTGTCTTCACCAGTGTAGGGAAAAGAGACATAGAGATTAGCAATATCATTTGTAATATGTGATGTAGCTCCAGAGTCCAGTAGCCAAGATGGAGAGGTTTAGAAGAGTAGGAGCACATAAAGCAACAAGCTTAGCCGGTGGTACCCTTCCAAAAATCTCAGGATTCATCCCCATCAAAACAATATATGGCTTTGTGGCTAGTAGAACCACAAATTTAATATGGAGCTTGGCTACCAGATGAGGATGAATAACCATAAGAATTGGACCTGGAGCTTGGATTAAGAGAACGATTTGAATTGCCACGATAGCTGCCATGGAAAGAACCTCTATTGGTGCGGTGATTTCGATTCCTTCTGTTGAAACCACAATTTTGTCTCCCACGATTAGAATTATAGCGGAATGAATTCTGGAGTGATTGATGAGATGCAGCAAGAGCCTGTGGAGAAGGCATTGGCAGCAATGGTGCCTGATAGTGAGTACAAAAGGCCTGAAAAGGCTCAGTGACAGAAAAGGACACACTATGCTTGAGACAAGCCATGGAAAGTTCTTTAGTAAGCAGTAGACCATGCAATTCATCAAAGGAGGTGGAAGACAAGTGAAACGTGATGGAGTCTATGAATGACTCAAATTTATCAGGTAGACCATGAAACATTGCTGCAATTAGATCTCAATCTGAAATAAAGGCACCAGCAGCTATGAGAGAA